CACCCCGGTGTCCCCGGCTGTGCCACCCCGGTGTCCCCGGCTGTGCCACCCCGGTGTCCCCGGCTGTGCCGCCCCGGTGTCCCCGGCTGTGCCACCCCCGTGTCCCCGGCTTGTCCTGGACGTGGGGCTGGGAAGGAGGACCCGGCCCAGCAGCCTGGGACCCGCCCGTCCCGCTCTTATCTTGGCACTGCAATCCCAGCCGGCCCCGTCTCCTCCTCGCTCCAGGGCGAGGTTTCTGGAGCTGTGGCCTCTATCTGTCCCATCCAGTCAGGTGCCACCCGGCCCCCTCCCCTCCCTCTGCTGGGATTAACTGTTTAAAGCATTTTTCGGATTCTCGAGGTGGGTTTTGTTCACTGAGCCCTTTGTTTGCCATTCCCTGGAGCCCTGCCTGGAGCTGCCAAGGTTCACCCCAGGGCTGTCCCCTTCCCTGGAGTAAGGACTGGGGCGGCAGCGCTCCAAGGGCTAAAAATGACTTGCCAAAGGATGCCATGACCCTGCCAGCGTGCTGTCAGCTGCTCTGCATCCCCCACAGGCACCACCTGATGTTTGTGTTCGGGGTTTTTCATATGTGTAATCCTCTAATCAAGAGGGGCCCTTCCTCATCCCCGAGCAGAAATGATTCCTTGGGACATGAGAGGCTCCAATCCAGCCCTGAACACAATTCCCCTTTGTTCCAAGTGTCCCGTACACTGGGGTGCTCTGACAGAGTTTGGCTCCATATTGGAATATCTTAAAGGTTTTGAGCGTGTAAAAGAGGTGAAACACCTCATATTAAAGGTTTTCCTGATGAACTGAGCCAGCTCTGTTACTGGCTGGTGTCATGGGGGCCAGTGTAGAACTTTGTCCCCTGGATTCTGGGAGCTGTGCCTCCAGAGAGACTCTGATCCCACTCTGTTCTCTGGAGAGAGTTTGGATGCAGGCTGGGGGCCAGGGAGGTTTACTGCCTGGGAAATCCCTCCTGAGGTGGGACCAAGGCTGCTCCCCTGAGATGGATCCCATCCTCCTGCTGCTCCATGTCCCTAGGGAAGCTCTGCCCTGCCCAGGATACTCACAGGAATCCACCTCCACTTTCACAATCCCATCTCAGCTCTGCTCCTGCCCACCTCCCTCAGGCTCCAGCTCCCAAATATCCACGCTCTTCAGCAGGAACTCTGCTTTGTCTCCCAGGGCACCCGAGCTCCTCTGCACAGGGTGTTTGGGGGATGTGTGAGCAGCCAGAAGTCCTTGGAGCTGCTCTGCACAAACAGTCCCTTGTTGGGGTTGTGCAGCTGTTCCTCTGCACTGCAGCCAAACACCTCGTCCCAGGAGAGCTCCCTTCCCACGGCCATCACATCCACCAGCAACACGGTGGTGGGAATTAAGCCCTCCTGGAAATGGAATTCCTAATGGTCTGATCATAGAATTATTACTAGATCTGCTAGAGAATAAAGCACTGCTACAGAAGAGGCTTTAACCATGAGATAGCTAACAACTGATTTATGTGTGTTTTGTTATCTCTGAAATCACTTTTGCCCAACTCCACGGTTTTTATCCAGCAGTAATTGGCCACTGGAGTTGTTTCTGGAGTTAAAAATCACACAGAGCAGCTCTGTATCCTCTCCATACAAAAACTGTGTCACACAATTTCTCAGCACTAAGGAAAAGTAAAATGAATTAAGAATGACCCTCTTGGGGCTCAGGGAAAGGAGCCTGAGTGTCGCCGCTGAAGATGAACAGATCACACGGACACAGGTCGAGGTGTGGTGAAAAGAAGAGAAAGTTTATTTTTCCTCCCAGGATTTATAGGATTCTGCCCACGGCCAGGGATTGGAGGGTCAGGATAACACTTTCCCACTGCACTGGCCATGAGAGATGCCCATCACAAGACGTGGAACAGAAAGAATGTACACATATCTATGTTTACAGTTACTGTCCTGAGAAAGTCCTTAGAAAACCATGTCAGCAAGCTCAGAAGCTGAGTTTTCAGGGTGACACCTGAGGAGGGTGAACATGATTCTGCTGGGGGAGGTTGTCAGTGGCTGGAGATGGGGGTTTCATACACAGAACTGGGAGGTTTGTGGGGAGGAGTCACTGCCAGCCCTGTCAGTGGGAAGGGCTGTGCTGTCACTGCTGATGGGGTCCTGCAGCACCCCTGGGTGCTCGGGGCAGGTGGGGTGGAGCTGCCTGGGACAGGGTCAGTCCTGCAGTGGCTGCCAGCCCCTCCTCGCTTGTGCCAAGAGCAGCAGCTCACCGGGTTTGTTTTGGTGTTTCAGAGTCTCCTTCCCTGACAGCAGAGCCCACCATGCAGGCAGACTCTGTTCTCCACAGTGGCTACTTCCACCCCGTGCTGCGCTCCTGGCAGTGCACGGCCACCACCTTCGATGCCTCCAACCTCATCTACCCCATTTTTGTCACGTGAGTGAGCCCCAGCTCTCGGGTCCCTGAGCTCTTAAACAGGTTCAGAGCTCCTGTGGACAAGTCTGGGAGAGAGGCTTCCTTCTCACACCGAGTGCTCATGTCTCTGTCCCATCACCTCCCACAGTGACAGCCCTGATGCCGTGGAGCCAATTCCCAGCCTTCCTGGACAAGCCAGGTATGAATCCAGCCCCCAGCTGCTGCTGTGCCTTGTGTCTGGGGAGGGTTCATTTCTGCCCTGAGCATGAGCCAGGGGCAGGCTTCCAACCCTCTGGTTCCTGCTTTGGAGATCTCTGGGAATCAGGCAAAGTGGGAATGTTCATCCATTGAGGGAGTGGAGGGAATCATGCAGGGAATGCTGGAAAAGTGCTGGGAGGGACAGCAGCAGGCTCTGGCTCTGTCCCAGAGCAATCCCAGGTTGTGTGAGCTGGAAGTGAACAGCGTTTCCAGCAGCAGCCAGGAAACCTCTGCAAGGACATGGGATCTGGTTCTGCACTGGATCCCACTGGGCTGGCAGCTCCCCTCGGCATCTGCTGCCACATTAGCAGGGCTTTGGTGCTGGGAAAGTGGATCTGCAGCAGGGACACCAAGATAATGGATCCAAGGGCAGGGTATGCCCATCCCTCCAGAGCAGGGTCCATGCCGAGCAGATAGAGCTCCTGGAGCCCCGGATAAGGGCTCAGATTTTTCAGGAAACACTTCCCCTGTGCCTGCAGCCATGGCCTGGTGATGCTGGATTGCTCACAGGGCAGCAGCATCCCAGTCCCAGGGCAGCTCTGGGTGCCTGGCAGCTGCTTCCCTTTGCCCTGCTCAGGTACGGAGTGAACAAGCTGGAGGGGATGCTGCGGCCCCTTGTCGAAGATGGCCTCAAGTGTGTGCTCATCTTTGGGGTGCCCAGCAAGGTCCACAAGGTCAGTGCATGTGTGGGGGGGTGCTGGGATAGCCACAGGGCTGTCAGAGCCATGTGGGGCTGGCTGGGGGTGGTCTCTGATCAAACAGGAGCAGTTCAGGGTCTCTGGCTGTGATACAGTGCACTCAGCACAGCAGATGGGGATGGGATATTGCAGGGACACCCAGAAAGTCCCCAGAGCTCTGCAGGTGGCCCCAAAACCTGCCCTAGCTGCCCATCACCCTTTTCCCTCAGTGGGGTCCCAGAGTTCAGGAAATGCTTCCTGGGCAGAGCTGCTGCCATGGAAGGGCCAGTGGGAAGTGTCAGCTGTGCATGCTGAGGTGTTTCTGTCCTCACAGGATGAGAGAGGCTCTGCTGCTGATGCCGAGGGCACTCCTGCCATCCAGGCCATCAGGAAGATCCGCTCCACCTTCCCGGAGCTGCTGACTGCCTGCGATGTCTGCCTGTGCCCCTACACCTCGCACGGGCACTGTGGTGAGCACGGCCCTGGGGCTGGCTGTGCTCTGGCCTTCTCCTGCCTCTGGGATTTGCCATTTTCTGCTGAGGGTCTGACCAGCTCCTGCTCCAAGACTCAGCTTCCCTGTACTGGTGTAGTTGAGCCTGGGTGACCTCTCCTGGGTTTTGACCACAGGGTGGGAGGCAGGGGTGGTTCAGACCCTCCCTCAGGCCCCCTGAGTCTGAGCACCCCTTTGTGTCCCCCATCTCTGCCTTCCCTTTCCTGGAGCACCCACATGCTGTGTCCAATCCACAGAGAGCTCCTGCTCCTTATCCCCCTCCCTCAACTCATCAAATTCCCCACTGCTGCTCTGAGCACCACAGCTTGTCCCCAGAGCCTGTGGGGACTGAGGCAGCAGCTGTCCCTCCCCTGTGTGACCCCGGTTTGTCTCCCAGGCATCCTGCGTGAGGACGGCACCATCCAGAACGAGCTCAGCTGCCAGCGGCTGGCAGAGGTGGCGCTGGCTTATGCCAAAGCAGGTGGGGAGCCCTGGGCAGTGGCAGCCCAGGCTGGCTCTCACAGAGCTGCCCCTCTGGCTTTGGGCAGCCCCAAAAGCAGACTCCAGCTGGGAGTGCTGCCCTGCCCTCCCCGCGCTGTTCCAGGCAGCTCCTGGTGCTTCCCGGCATCCCTGTCCCGTCTGTCCCTGCAGGCTGCCACATCGTGGCCCCCTCGGACATGATGGACGGGCGCATTGCAGCCATGAAACAGGCGCTGATCTCCAACGACCTGGGCAACAAGGTGAGGCAGGGACAGCCACAGGCATGAGCCACGTCCACGGGAGGCTGCGGCAAGCGGCAGAGGGGCAAACCCCCCTTGGCGCCACGGGCATTGCCCTGGCCAGCACACACAGGAGGGGAATGTCCTTGGCTGGGGCCAGCCATGGCGAGGTGCCAGACCTCTGGCAGAGGGAGGATGAAGCTGTGGGAGCGAATCTCTCCCGTCCCAGCGCTGGGATGTGGCCCTGAGTTCACAGCCCCTCTCTGCCCTGCAGGTCTCAGTGATGAGCTACAGTGCCAAGTTTGCTTCGTGCTTCTACGGCCCCTTCAGGTGGGTCTGTCCCTCAGCCAGGTGTGCCCAGCTCGGCCAGGCTGGCTGGGAACACATTCCCAGAAAGTTATTTGGGAAAGGAGCTTACCCAGAGCCTGGGCTGCACGTGGGGCCACACTGGTCACTTTGCAGCATCCTACTCCTACTTCTCCATGCAAAAAGGAGACAAGTGTACCTTAGCCAGGAGAGGCTGGCTGGCAGGAAAGTCACTGAAGGGTGATCTTTCATCCCAAGCCTTCACCTGCTCAGGTGCTGGTGGCAAGGCAGGCAGAGAGGGAGCTGCCTGCAGCTTTCAGGAGTCACAGGAGTCAGTGTTGCCCCACAGGGTGACTTCAGGGATGAGCCTCAGCTTAGTCAGCTGTTAGACCTTGTCCTAAGAAGAGCCTGACCTCAGCAGGGTATCCCTGAAGAACCGACCTTGGAAAGGGGCCTGGCACAATTTTACCCAGACTCTGGGCATGGGGAGGGCGGTGGGTGTTGAAACAGCTCCCAGGGCCAGCCTGGGCCTGCAGGACCTCCCAGAGCAATCCCTGCGTGCTGAACTGTGTCAGGAGCGGCCCCTTCTTCTGCCTCAGTGACTCAGATGCTTGTCCTGGCCTGTCCTCGTGTTTCTGAAGCTGTGTGAGGTGGGAGGCAGGGGTTCCTCACCCCCTGCCCTCTGCCCCTCTGCAGGGACGCGGCGCTCTCCAAACCTGCCTTTGGGGACCGGCGCTGCTACCAGCTGCCCCCGGGGGCACGGGGCCTGGCCATGCGTGCTGTGGTGAGTGTGGGGTGTAGGGACACCCTCAGTGGGGTGTGGGGGACACCCTCAGTGGGTGTGGGTTATGGCTGTGGGGTGTAGGGGACACCCTCAGTGGGGTGTAGGGGACACTCTCAGTGGGGTGTGGGGGACACCCCCTCAGTGGGTGTGGGTTATGGCTGTGGGGTGTAGGGACACCCTCAGTGGGGTGTGGGGGACACCCTCAGTGGGGTGTAGGGGACACCCTCAGTGGGTGTGGGTTATAGCTGTGGGGTGTGGGGGACACCCTCACACAGGGCCTGGGTGATCGCACCCCGCAGGGCTCGGGGCGAGCAGGAGGTTGGGAGACAAATGGTGGCGGGTTTTGCCCTTCTGGCTCCGAACTCTGGGGAAACCAAGCTCTGTTCTCGTCCCCGCGCTGCCGCGGCAGGACCGGGACGTGCGGGAAGGTGCAGACATGCTGATGGTAAAGCCGGGGATGCCCTACCTGGACCTCGTGAGGGACGTGAAGGCTCGGGTGAGGACCTGCGTGGCAGGGAGGGCTCTGTGGGCTCTGTGTGCCGGGCAGCGGGGCTGTGCGGGCAGGGGACAGCGCTGACCGCTCCCGCAGCACCCCACACACCCGCTGGCCGTGTACCACGTCTCGGGGGAGTTCGCCATGCTGTGGCACGGGGCGCAGGCC